TTAGGTTATTTGACTAACTACTCTAGATTTTTTCTGTTGGGGATATGTTAAAAACGTAGTTTATCAAACTCAAAAAATAATTTTGAAAAGCGAATCAGAATATGCATGGACAACAAATTTTAAATTTACTGACTCATTTTGGAATAAATATGTTCATTTAATTTTTCTTTTAGTTTTGGGTTTTTAGGTGCATATAGATCAAATAAAAATCCTGTGTGTGTTTAGCTTTCGGCACTGATCAGTGCCCTCTTCAATAGTTTTTATTAAGCAATTTCTTTTTCCTTTAATTAGTGTAATTTAGTGTATGGATGACCATAATACCTACCAACAATAAATAAAAATATAACAACCATGACTAGGATTATAGGAGAAAAAAAAATAAACAAAAATGTTTTAATTTATTTTTAATACCTCAATTTTGTATCAAAGAATTCATATAACATTAAATTTAATAAAAAAACAATATTTATTTAAAAGAAAAAAATTGTTTGATAAAAACTACTGAGAAGACTCTGATCAGTGCCGAAAGCTATAGTCACACACACGATTTTTAATTGATCTACAAGCACCTAAAACCCAAGAACTACAAGAATAACTATAAATTATAAGGTGCAAGAATTATACAAGAAAGCAGATACCCTGACTTCCTTTGTAAAGTACTAATGTTTATTTAATAGCTTTGTTACAATAACACTATTAGTATAGATATTTGAAATTTATTGATTCATTGAAACTATTGATAATAGTTTGAAAAATGGTAGATATGGGTATAGGAAACCTTATAGAACTTTTAACGTAAATAAAATATCCTTCATATTAGTACCATAAAATACAGGGTGTTCCATTTAAATTATTGCACTAATTAAATAAAACATTTTACTTTAATTAAACTTCAAATTGCAAACACCCCGTACATTTTTCGAATATTTTAATAAGTTTAATAAATTCAATAATTAATTATTTTGTAATCAAGATTAATTAATTAATTAATTTCGTCAGCACTACTTTTTTCAAAAAATGTCAAATAAATCGGTAAATATCGAAAATGGGAATAGGATATCTTTATTAAACTAAGATTATTTTTAAGAGTGGAACTTAAAAAGAAAATATGCATGGGGTATCACATTTAAAAAAGATTACTTTATATTGGTATTCTGGTTTAGGATAACCTGTATATATGAACCAAATTTTAATTTGTAGCCGCCGTTGAGTTGTATATTGGTGCCGAAGGAATTTTTAATATCATTATTGTAGTTTAGTTTACCCACCAGGCTCCGTCCCTTTGAGCGTGACGCACCTTGTATATATAATATATTTTTTTTTCTTGTATTATTTTATTGTTCCTCATTTATTTTTATTTTTTTATTATTGGACGGAGATCAAATCCTCAGATAAACAAATGAATAATAGATAAGTAACGGTCTGGATGTGTTTGAAGCTAATATGAACCGTTTTATCTATTACTTTCTCTTTCTTCCTGGTCTTTGATGTGATTCGTCTATTTTAAATACCAGCGCCAATTACTCACAACTGTCAACAAGCATTTGGGAACTGTCAGTTTTGTTTGTACATTTTTTGTGATTTTATATTCCCAGGGCATATTTTTAAAGTTTTTAGAGTGTCTAGAATGTTTTTTTAACGAATTTTGTTAGTTGTTAGTCTAAAAATTATTATTCAATGTTTGTTTGCCCTAAAACAAATTTGTAGAAGTCCACGTCGTTTCAAAGGTAAGTAAATAAAACACATGGGCGGTACACCTATATTGTAAAATATTATTAGTATTTTTTTACGCAGGTTTCTTGGTTTCTTACAAACTGAAGCAATGGAAATTTGTATTCAAATCCTAGAATTAGAGAAGGTTGAAGTTGATAAAATTAACATAAATTGGAAATATATTTTATATTATTTTGTTATGAATTCTGCCGGAAAAGACGAATTTAAATCTGGAAGCAATTCCTATTTTATTCACTTCTCAACTTGGTCCGTCTTCAAGTAAGTTATAATAATATTATGTAATACAATACCTAATACAAATTTTTCATACATTATAAACTTGGAGATTAAATTTAAAAAATAAATGCTATATTGTATTCTCCGAGGTATTCTCCTAGACAAAGTAAAATAAATCTCAGTGCTTTCTGGAAAGAAACCATTTTATGAAAATATAAACTACTCCAAAGTGTTTCTTTTTTCTTAGTAATGAAATGAATTATACTTATAGAATGATTATGTTGTAAATATTTTATAATTCTTTTTAGGGAAAATTTACTTCCTAGTGAATGTAGTGAAAGACAGAGTCTAGAAGAGATTTATAGTTATAGTATGCACATACTGGATCAGAAAATTTAAGTTGTTCCACCGACATTGCTCCAGAAGCTATAGAATAGGTTATTCAAATTATAAAGAAGACATCTATAAAAATACCCAAATTCAGAGACAAAAAGTTATGCTAAAAATAATAGATACATTTAAAAATGCCCGTTTTTAAAAAAATATTTGTCACAAATCATTTTGGAGATATTAAAATATCTAAAATTCCAAAAACTTTAAAAAACCTGTTAAAAGTTTATAAATGAGAAGTGTGTTAATCTAGAACAAGTCAAAGGGGGTTATTTTCTAAGTTTCAGCTGAAAATGCATATCAACGAAAGCGCCAAGCAGACTTCTCAACAAAGTTCGATCACGAAAACGACAAGCATGTGATTATGGTATTCTCAGGCTGAAGGACTTCGGTCGATGGCCAGTTGGTTATGCCAATAAAGTACGTTTACTGTTATTATTATTGGCATTCTCAAATGCTAGACGATTTTGCTATTCGTATGTGATTTTAATTTTTGTTGTAATCTGTCATAATAATTATAAATCATAAATGCTGATTTGTCTAAATATCTAAGGCTAGTATTTGAATGTCATTTTGACATTATTACAATTATAAACTCAATTAGAATATATTAAGGCCAATTTCAGAATTGTAAGGAATCATAAACAATAAACATTATATATTTGCTGACATTTTAATATTCAAGTCATAATATTTAGATATATATTTTAATGTTTGACTTATCTACTTCTAAAAATAAACTTTTTTGAATGTGCTTTACTTTTTTCAAATACGAACAACACAACAAGTAGAGAATACCAAAACGTTTGTGCTTTACACTTTTGCTAGTTGTCGTGTTTATGGAGGGAGCTGAGTGCTTTCAAAAATGCTGGTTAGACAATAAGCCCCCGTTTTAACTCAGCGAAGTAGAAGGTTTCAGTCTAGAATATCTGTCAATATTCGCTTCTAACATATTTATTTAAGAGACCAAAAATTACATGAGTTGAAATGCATCAGAAGCAGTTGAGGTACCTATGTATCTAGTATGAAACTAAAAATAATTCAATTTGGTGACATACATTTAAATATAATATGTAGCCCATGCACAACTTCGGTTCCTATGGGATGTCCATTATATTTCTTTGAAAATAGACACTCCACTAACCAATTTTGCCCTTTTTTTATTTATAATTACCACCTTTGATACTTTTTATTGTATTTTTTTAATAATTTTATATTGAATTTTTATAATTTAATTCTTGTATTGTTTTTCAATTTGCGTTAATTGTATGTTAATACATTTTTGGATGAAGCTTAATTGAGTCATATATAAAACATTTTTATCACACACAAGTTGTACATAGACAAAATTTAATTTATGTGATTTATTAGAATACAGGAGGTTTTTCAGACATACATACCATGTAGGAATAAACTAGCTAGATACTGGCGTTAAATATCTGGAATTATTAATAATTGCTCTCGTGAAAAATGAATGCATGATACGGATTTTCTATTCTTACATAAGTTGTTAAATGGATGTTATATTACTTACCAGAAGTTACTTTCTGATTCGGCCGTAAAAGATCAACTCGATACTTACAGCCTTTGGTACACAAATATCTATTTTAGTTCTATAAATGTCATTAAAAAATTATGAAAAATGTATTTCTCATCTATAAAATTGTTATTTATGATAAAGAAATATTTTAGTTTACAAGAACAAAAATAAAACCTGAATCAATAACAAATCAATGAAAATGTTGCTAGAGTTGGGGACGTTTTTATGGAAAATTGGAATGTTACTATTTTACTAATAAAGCTACAGTTAATTTATCTTAGCATTTTATTTAAATATAAATATATTATCCGAATAAAATTAATGCCGCTAGTCAAGGTTTAAAGGCCTCGGCACTTCAACCTTTCTATGCTTCTAGTTTATATGTTTGTAAACAGAGATCTATTGTTTCTATTAGGCTTAACAGTCTCCATTAGATCTTTCTTGGAACAAGATTACAGACTATAAAGGTAAGTTTCAACAAATTTATAGATTGGTGTCTATCCATTATAAATTACTTTCAAAGCTTATAATATGTTTGTTTATTCTTAAGAAATGATAAAATCTATCACATATCTTTTTTTTATATTTTTAAAAATAAGTAACTGCCTTAATTCCTATTTTTTGACATCTCTCGTATATGCTAAATAAATTTAAATTTATCACTTCAAGTGGTAAGAATGCTACCTTTAGGTATATAAGGGAAAAGTAAATTGGTTTTTTTTATTGTTGAGTTTCAGAAATATTAATTTCTCCTGGTTTTAAAATAAGATGAAATGATTAAAACGGACCTGCAAAGGCACCAATCTCACCAGTATTCCTGTGACCTAATGGGTAAATTCAGTTTGGCTTACTTTTTATTTTAAATATACAGTTTACTGATATCTACCTATAAACAATATTAACAGTGTAATTATTTGAATTATAAGTATCATTTATTACATTTGAATAAAAAATAGAATTTAATTTTTGTAAAATGAAATTTTATGCATGAGTTGCATTGTTCTTTAAATTTGTTATTGACAAAATATTTACAAAAGAATGCTTTGGGTTCTGATGAAAAAACTATTTGATACGCCCATGGGGACCACGGCTGTCAAAAGTTCGTAGATACTGGCTTCAAACAAAGCCTATGTAAAACTGTGCCCGTAACACATCTATATTTCATTTGTTTATCTGAGATCAAATCAAAGGTTCATAAAAAAAGAAAGTCAGGGTAGGGGCTGGATGAGAAAAGCACAGACAGAGGCAGAGACCGAGAAAAGTGAAGAACATAACCTAACCTAACATTTATATAATCTTTCCTCCATGCATTTATGTTTGTTTTGTTTTCCGTTAGCTCGGGGCATGCTCGAGGCCCGGTGAATAACATTTTACCCAGGTGAATATCGTGGCTCGAGGTAAAAATAAAAAACAAAACATGTCTCGGTCAAAAATAGTAAGATTTATTGACATAGGAGCAAATCTAACAGATTCCATGTATTCTGGAATATATAATGGAAGCAAAAAACACGATCCTGATTTAATACAGGTGTTAGACAGGAGTTGGAAAGCAGGTTTAAGCAAAATAATAATAACTGGTGGAAATTTAGAAGAAAGTAAGAAAGCTTTAGAGATATCCCAAAGTGAACCGAGATTATACAGTACTGTAGGGTGTCATCCAACAAGATGTAATGAATTTGAAGAACATGATGGAGGTGCAGATTCATACCTTCAAAAACTGAAAGACATTATAAACACAGGAAATAATAAAGTTGTAGCTATAGGCGAATGTGGCCTTGATTATGATAGAATACAGTTTTGCTCAAAAGAAATCCAATTAAAATATTTTGAACTCCAAATTACTTTAAGTAAAAATTTTAATCTTCCACTTTTTTTACACTGTCGAAACGCAGCTGAAGATTTATATAATATTTTAGTCAAATATCCTGGTTTGAAGGGTGTTGTTCATAGTTTTGATAGTTCTGTTGAAGAAGCTAAGAAATTTTTAGATTTGGGACTATATATTGGTATAAATGGTTGTTCTCTCAAAACTGAAAATAACTTGCAAACAGCAAAAAGTTTGCCTATTGATAAAATTCTTCTGGAAACTGATTGTCCTTGGTGTGAAATAAGACCATCACATGCTGGGTATAAATACATTTCCAAAGAAAACCTATTACCGTCTGTTAAAAAAGAAAAATGGAATTCCACCTCTTTGGTTAAAAGTAGAAATGAACCATGTAATATAAAGCAAGTATTAGATATCTTAGCTTGTGTTAGGAATGAAGATATTGATGTTTTAAGTGAAAATATATATGAAAACACTTTGCAACTATTTTTTTCTAGTAAAACAGATGTGTTGTAATTTTTAAAAATAAAAATTATTTTATACATAAAAAATGCTATTTTTTATTGATAAATGAGCTTTTGATCTAGAAAACAATGGATAAGAGATAATAAAATATAAAATTAAAAATGTCATATTACATTCAATGAAAAATGTCTTTTATAATAGAAACTGCTAAGTATAAAATAATATTCTCGAATTTACAAATATGAGTTAAATATTGAAGTGTTATGTTATAATAAATAAAAAGTAAAAAGCCATGGAGGAAGGATAAAAAGCTCTCTACTATTAATATGCAACCAAACATACACCAACGTATGTTGTATTGCCTAAGTGATGTCTAGAATACAGTGAAGGCGGAAATTTTCGTAGGCCTATTGCGTATAAAAATTCGGTATCTGTGACCTCCTAGTGCAACCGATGTATTTCGATCTACCACCCGAACATCTCAAATGATAGTTTTAGCCCTTCCTTGTTTGCAGCCAGCCAACAACATCAGTGAATAGATCAGGATAAGCAATGGAAAATATATTGAACGCCAGGGACGACATGCCGCATTATGATAATTGGAACAATCAAAACAAAAAGAGCCTTATGAAAGTTTTAAAATATAAACATTTAGTGGGCGCTGTTCCGACAATGTTTGGGCGTGGATAAGCGTTAAAACGGTTCTGGAATGTGCGAGCAAATTGATGATGGACGATTATATAACAGCCGAGCATTACATAAAACATCTTAATTAAACACTGTGCTGCCAAATTTTTTTGACCTTTTTCCTTCCAGTGAGTCGCCAAAATCCTTCATTTCCTTCAAAACAGAGGCGGGCACAATAATTTAAAAAAAATTATGGAACGAACGACTTTTTTTATTAGGCACCAAAACATACATATAAACTAAATTATAAATAATAAAAAAAAAAACTAAAAGTTAATTATCTAAATCACCAAATTTAAATAAGCGCTTACTTAGATAAATTTGTTGATTTCATGGTAAATCTATTGGAATATTTGCTAAATATACAACTTTGTCTCAAAATCCTTCAAATATGAATAAAATCCTTAATACCTATATATATGTATAGTTAAAATTTTCGATCAAAACTCTTCATTTTGAAGAAAATCCTTCAATTCTGGCAACACTGGCTAGACAACGTAATATTACCAGTGACGTAGAAAAGGAGGGGGGGTCAAGTGAATCAATCCCATCATGATGAGTGAATTAAATAAAAAAGCTTCCTTCATTTATTGCCGCGTTTGAGAATCCACATCGGATGCATTTTTTACATCTCGAGCGTTTTTTTATCCACATCGGACACATCTACTACATCTACATCTGCGTTTGTTTATCCCAGATGTACCTGTTCAGATTACATTTTTTACATCTCGATTTGAAATGAGATGTGAATGAGATGTTCGTTCTATGCCTGAAAGTAAGTGTTCTGTGAAGTCTTGTTTGTCAATTTATCCTTTGTTATGAATATAAAAGTGATTAGATTGTTTAATTTTTGTTTATATTTCAAATTTAGGTTGATTTGTAGTCTCAAAAGTCAAATTTAATAAGTATAAACTTCTAACTTGTCATTGACATTTTATCACGTGACCAAATAAAGTCTAGAGCGTTTGTTTATTACATCTACATTCAGATCTAATTCTCTATCACGTGATAAAAAATTCACAACATCTCAGATGCATCCGATGTGGATTCTCAAACGCGGCATATGTATATAAATTAGTCATATCTTCCCATCGCATAAAGCTATTCGCTTCGTGCGCGACAGCAGCGCCAATTCGTTTTGGTACTAATGGACTATGGGGTCTATTCTGTAACAATTCCTTTATATTTAACGGCCTTTAAAAATATGTTCGTATTCGTTAATTTACTTCTGTCATTATTTAAACAGATTTCTTTAAGATAGTCCTCTAATGTATTTTAAAGATCCGTTTAAATAATGACAGAAATATAAAGAAGAAAATATTTTTAAAGGCCGTTAAATATAAAGGAATTGTTACAGAATAGGCCCCTATTTCTGCGTATACTGACAAATACAATTTTTAATAGAATTCGTAATTAAAAAGTATATATGTTAGTTTTAATAAACGTATATGGATTTGTAAAACAAATAAAATATTAATTTTTTATTATTATTACACAGGGTGTTTCCGAACTTGGCGTCCAAATTTGTAGGGGTGGTAGTTCGCATAATTTGAGAGCGATTGGCAGATTTCATTTTTCTAAAAAATTATAATAAAATAGAGCCATTATAAAAATATAAAAAAGCAGGTCCTACCCTGAGCGCGTAGCGCAATAGTTGCCTGATCGGTTACTCATCGGGATTTACAACTCAAAAACAGATGCGATTTGTAAATTTCTCCCTCCGCCCGGCCGGTATCGAAAGACGTAGCCGATTGTTTTTCTAGTGCGTATTGCTCGAGGTGATCCCATCGCTGTGCAGGATCGACCGTACCTGTTTAAAATTTTTAATTATTTTTATTTTAAATATTTTGGAAAAATTTAATCTGCCAATCGCTCTCAAATTATGCGAACTACCACCCCTACAAATTTGGACGCCAAGTTCGGAAACACCCTGTATATTTTTATCGCTTAAATTAAAGAAAATTATGTATAATCAATAAAAATCAACAATAAAATATAGACAGGCAACAGTATTTACTGGAAAATGTATGATAAGTTGCCTAAGTCTAATAAGTTGTCATTGAAGAATTAGCCTATTCTGTCAAAATAAAAAAATACCATTTAATAATAGCGTGAAGTTAAAATGTATAAAAAAAGGATCGTTATTTATATATTCATTTTTGTTCAAAAGAAAACAGAATGAATGATTAAAACTGGTTTCCCATCAGTAAGTCACAAAATTGCATTCAACATATAATAATCAAAGGCAAAAATCTTGAAATCTAGTCCTTGCTGAATAAACATTTAAGAATAAAGGGATATTAAAGAACATCGTAAAATGATAATTTATTGTTTATTTAAAACCTTTCAAGTTTCTGATGTCCACTATTTCCAGCATTACTGTTATTATTACAAAAATAAAGGTAATTTTCCTTATTGTACACCTATCCATTTATTTCTTTGATTTAATTTCCTTTTTGTTACTGAAATTTTTTATATAAGTTTCACTGTTTATTTGCTAGTATTTGTTTAATTTTCAACACAGCAACTCCGGTTGCTTATTGTATTGTTTTTACCTACTTTAAAAAAAAAGTAAAATGTATACGTGTATTTGATATGCCATTACAAAATATCGCCCTAAAATGCACGAATTATCCGCAGCTAGCGCTAGTATCGCTTTTGCTTCCCTTTCCATAACTTCGCACGGAGCGAATATCTATGCTACTGAATCTTACCATCAGTAAGTTAAGTTTTTCCTGACAATTTTACTTTTCAAAAAGTTAAAAATTAGTTTATTGGTATATTCCAGAGATAACAGGAGATGTATAACTACTAACAAATATCGTGCGGTCCTGAATAAGACATATATATTTTAAGGGACACAGGGGTCTATTCTGTAACAATTCCTTTATATTTAACGGCCTTTAAAAATATTTTCTTCTTTACTTCTGTCATTATTTAAACGGATCTTTAAAATACATTAGAGGACTATCTTAAAGAAATCTGTTTAAATAATGACAGAAGTAAATCAACGAATACGAACATATTTTTATAGGTCGCCAATATTTTTAAAGGCCGTTAAATATAAAGGAATTTTTACAGAATAGAACCCACAGGCGGGTATAATCACATGCCCAACTAGTCATTCATAAAAGTGTATTTGTTGTGAAGTTCTCATCATCATCTATAGTCCAGGAGACAGTGACGATTTTCGGTATTTATTTTCCCAGTCAGCAAGCACGAATAGAGAATTGTAGGATTAGCAATTCTAAGCAAAGAGGGGGGATCCGATGGGCTGAGGCCGAAAATGCGTCAAAACATACGAGAATACGGCCCTTTTTTTCCATTGATAAAAATAGTTTTAGTAGTAAGAGATGTACTGAAGTTAAGTAAAAAATAGTCTGATTAATCTGTATGGATAATATATTTGGCAAGTGCATAAAATACACTTTCAAACGAGTTATGTACACAATTATTTCTACGACCACAATTATTTAAAGAATGTTCCAGGTGTTTTGTATATTAAAGTGTACGCATAGGACACATACATAAAATCTTATATCACAATGTTTCACCTAACCAGTTGGTTTATTTATAGAAATTAAACATAATAATTGAAGATATTACAGAAGAAAATAGGGAAATAAATTACATTTCCTTTTACACTTTTATATAATAATTGTTTTATTTAGAATTCATGAATCACTTATTACTCTACATTAATTATAATTATTGTTAGTTTCGTTATGTCAAATCATTTATACTAGAGGTGTGAGGAAAATACAGTGAACTGTGGAACGCCAATATCGTTGGATGCGCGTGGTAGAAATGGTCCTATAATACTGCTAAAAACAGCCAAATTTTCATGGAAACACCCCAGACAGCACACCAAATCCTTTGGATATCTACTGAACATCCCAATATCCACTGAATGTCCAGTCCATGGTGGATATCTATTTTATATCCATGAAATGTAATTTATAGACATGCAAATGTCCATAAATAATTGTAATTATATAGCAAATTATTAAAAAATTACGCCATTGTACTCGCCATTGTGGCTAATAGTACCGTTGAGATATTTAAAATTAATTTTTTTAAGGTGTATTCAATATCCCATGGACATCCACTATAAATATAAATATATCAAAGTCTAAGCGCGGACGCAAACCATCGTGGATATCTACTAGATGTAATTTTTGATTTTGCTTCCTAAGTATAGATGGCGATACCACTTTCGTATCTACTCATGCTTAACCCGCCGTAATTGAGTTTGATCGACATTGTTTCACAAACAGACTTCATTAGAGAGTGAAGTCGAGAAGATTTAATGCTGAAGATTCCTAATAAGGATGAGTTTCTCCATAGTAGGCAAAATCAAAGGCAGATTGTTGGGAATATTTTTTACCTCTATTTTCTTTCGACGTTATTCAATAACAATTGGTTACTTATACTTATGAACCTCTACTAAAA